AGGACTTGCAAAATTAGCTCAAAAATGTCACATTACAATGTTGTGACAGATTGTATTTCATGCGTGAAAGAAAAGCAGCATATACATGTAACTTCGAATGTTGTAGGGCAAATATAACAAGCGGCGACAGCGATAAGAATTGTGCATGTATATGCGAGATAATGTACGATGACGGTGCTTATAACATAAGATTTGCGGGACATGTAGTGCAATCTTACCTATCTATCTTATTATTAAATTATTCAGTTTCCCTATTGAAGAAGTTATTGCTTGCATATTTGCATTATTTATTTTGATATAAGCAAGAACCTTATTTAAGCATGCATTTTATATGAGTAAGGAATTCGTTTCGTATCCTTCTGTAAAAGACACAATTCTTCTTCTTCATTCAAGAAAAAAACTCCATTCTTCTTCTTCTTCAAAGAAAAAAAAACAAATGTTGCATTACATGGTCCTATTCAATTATTGATAAATGTTGTCCCGTTGTAATAGATGTTGTGAATTTCCGACTCGAATTTTAACATAGATTTAGTGATAAGATGTTGTGGTTTATGTTATTTAATTCAAAATTGTGAGTGATTCATCTCGTTCGTGGTTATCTTAAGAAACGTAAGGGCTAGAATCATTTGACGGAGCGATGCAAATTTAATTGATACTAATAATAAAATCTATTTATCAGACACACGAATGTTGAGAAACATTCGTGGAAGAGCTGAGACTTTAAAAAATATTATGGAAACTTTGTTTCATTAAGATTTTATTCTCTCGTTCTCTTCGCAGATATTTTAATATCAGTCAAAGCGGCGTTATTCTCCACAAAGATCTTGGATAATTTCAAAATTCTTTAACTACTTTGAATGTTGGACGGTAAAGCTACTTTATTAACTGTACTTAACTGTTTTGGGTATCCTAATTCCTTCTATTATCATTTGTATCGCCCACCTAACACAAAACCTGCGAGCGAGTTAGGATTACCACGTACGATAATCGCATCGAACAGTATTATGTTTTATTTAGCTTTAAGCGCTTTAATGTCGAGTTGTGTACTTAATTATGTTTCTTTATCATTAATTAAATAAATATCGTCAGTATTTAAGAGGGGACTAAGTTATAATGCTGTTGTGTACGTTCTGTCGGCCATCAAATGTTCGACATTAATATAAGTAGGGATGGACATTGTAATGATATTGATAAGCGAGTATTATCCGTCGATTGTCAACGCGGTACTCATACTTGTATCTCTAAATTTTTACCTGGACTATTTTTGGATACATTTACTCACTCTTTCTACTACTTAGGAATATGTGCTTAAGTTACTTTTTATTGGATTCATCGTAATAATTAGTTGAAAATTTAATAGAATTCTATATGTTTAGCTAATTTACTGTTAGTTTGAAATTTAGTAAGGATTATGAGAAACGGTGCAATTTTTTATGAAAATCTTTTAAGTCCGGTTTGACCGGTGTTATTGGTTTGAATTTCGAACGGTTACAAAAACTCTTCAATGTCGATACCAACTTTAAACTACTATATACTTATATCTTATATTAGCCGCTATGGTGTGGTTACCAAATACAGAGTTGTTATAGGTTCGAAATGTATGTGAATATAAGGCATTGTACTGTCAACGACACAGCAGGTTACATGATACTGTCAAATTTCACACTCGATTATGAACCTTAATTTGGAATTTGAATTGACTGCATTTAAATATGGCATGGCTAATAAAGTTAAAAATCGATTGCAGACACTTGACACTTTGTAGTAACCTGATGTGTCGTCTATTGACATGGGGATCCATTATGGCGATATTTGACAACCCCGTAATTTGCTTTGATTTAATTTTCTGGTTAATTTCAGATTATTTATCAAATTAATGATTGTCCCTTGTATGTCATTTATCGATGTAATTGATGTCATTGTAACCGTTACACCCCAGTGTCCACTTTGGATGTTGTGAATTAATATAATCAATAAATGTGTTACAGTTTTAAGGTTTTTGAAATCTCAATGTAATAGTAGTTCAGTAGTTCAGTGTATTTACTACATTCGTAGTTCAATCTGTACCTTTAAATTTCCACGTACTGAATTATATACTTCTTAGTATTTCACCATAGTGGACTTGGATTCGCGTATTTTTCTTCAAAACTTTTTCAGATTTGCTGTTCCTTTATGTAGGTATTGTATTTATTTGTAAGGTCCTGTGTACCATGGCCTAATAAGTAAGATTGATTGTTTTGGTTTGTTCACACTGGGTTTATTTCGGTAATCAAATGCATGTTAGAAACAACTTGAAAACCAGTGTTTTTTGTAATAATTTTTTATAATAATGCAACTCATACTTAAGACAATAGTAATGCAATCGGTTTGTTTTTAGTTACAATAATGTTAACTTTTGTTTATGAGTCGTGGTGCTGGGCCGGTAGTCTAAACTCTTTATTTGAATACTTTTTTGATTTGTGTACTAGTTACCATTGTTTCCGACTTTACTTGTATCTTAATAAACTCACTTCACTTCTTTGGTACTTTTATTTTAGTTTTAAGGTGATCCTTTATTTGAAAAGTTTAAAATTTCAACTAATCACATATTGATGCAAATTATTTTTTTTTATTATGGAGTGAATTTTATAAAAAGAGAATTGATTGCACAGAAGTTAGTGCGTTTGGTGCGCGATCGTTGAGAGTAAATACCTCATCGTCATCATCATCAGCCGTTAGACACCCACTGCTGAACAAAGGCTTCCCCCATAGATCTCCAATGTGTTGCCCGCATCAAGCCAACCGCATCCTGCAACCTTTATAAGGTCATCGATCCACCTGATGAGGGGTCTAGCCACTGAGCGTTGTCTTGTTGGTACATGGTTAAGCAATGTCAGTAACATTGGTTCTCCTACGGATTTCTCTGTTCCAAATACGTTCAGGCAGAGATTGCTTTTCCCGTTGCCCGCTGTGTGACCTTCAGCCTTCTTATGAGACCCACAGTGAACCACCACGTCTCGCTTACGTAAGTCGTCACTCATCACTGGCAACACACACTGTTCGAAGAGTTTTGTCTTGAGACGTTTAGGTAATTCGGACGTGAAAATTTTTCGTAACTTCCCGAACAGTGCCTAAACATGCTTACTTACAAGTCTTTCTACTTATGATGAAACTATACCCACTTATTAGGATGTTTTCTCCTAATTGGTTGCTTCCATTCCTTCCATTTCAATGGACCGCGCATACACGCAGATCCTCTGAGCACAGCTAGCAACGTCTGTTCATGCCGATCGCTATTATCACTTCTCTCTTTTTATGAATTTTTGTTTTCGTCGTAGGTATTACAAGTATAGTTCTATTGTTAGGTTTGATAAATAATAATTACTTAAAAATATTCACTCCCAATTTGTCTTTAATCGATGGAAAGATAAAATAAAATAATTATTTGTTAATTAGCCAACGGTAACGTGACTGATGTAATTTAGTGACTCGGCGACGGCCAAATCGTAGCAACTGGTTAGGTTATTGGTCTATGTTCTAAGTTAGTCCCGGTTTTAAAATAAGACGTTAATAGTTAGTGATACCACCATATATTACCATAGACTTAGATAGCTTTCTCGGCCATACGACCCTTTTCAACGACGTTGAAATCTCCAGTGTGTCGAATAGGGCAATATTGTATTGTCTAAACCAGAGATTTCTGCGGAAATCGAGGATTATTATGCCGTTTATACGCTGCACATGCTCTTTGTTTAGAAACTATTTGGGCCTGCGTTAACACTGAGAATAAGCGGTAGGCTCACGTCCAAATGTGCTAGCACGCGCTCCGATGCTAGTTCTTGTTTCACACTTTCGAATGCGACGAAGATGACTACTCCACTGCTACTATTCCAGAATGCAGTTGTAAAGCGGCTCAATAGAGTAGATGCATTTGGAATCAAAATAGCGATAACAATTTACTACCTCTAAGAACTGTTGAACTTCCAATATGCTATTTGGCACAGGAGAATTTATTATAGCTTCTGCTTTACCTGGACATGTGCGAACGCCGTTTTTTGTAAATCACATACCTTAAATAAGTGATACTCTCTTGAAATAATGCATATTAAGGTACTTTTTTCCGAGCCTTGACACCGCACTTAACAATCAGCTACTTTCCGCAGTCTGTTTAGATGTGTTGATCTATCAGGCCCTGTAGAGCAAATAATATGTGTCAACTTACTGACATAATATTGCATTGTCATCTGACTTACTACATGTCCATGCAAAACTTTAAATCTATCGGATATTGGGAAGTGGGTAAATTTGAGTTTCAAGATTTGCGCACTAACATACTATCAAGGCTAGTTAAATGAAAGCTTGAAATAAAAATATAATGGATCCATATGAATTACTCACCATATCAATATAAAAATGACATGCAAATATAGATCAAAAATAGGTAAAAATAATGACCATAATCACTTTACAATAACAATAATTTAACCTACACAAAATTATATCGAGAAAACGTCCAACGTTTGTAGCGTTTGTAAGCAAAAAACACGTGCACTCCCACTATCGACTTTTTGAACATATGGGTAGTCCATCTAACCTCACGACCCCGTCATGCCCTCTTTCCCTATTTCTAAAATGCTATCTTCATATTTCCATTCTCTTTGACCTTCTAGCATGATTTCATGAGTTTTCTTCTTTTATCAATGGCCTTTCATTAATTTCAACATGTAAAATGAAAATTAAATGAATGATAGATGGCGATGTCTTTCGTGAGTTTTCCCCTAGTTTTCCCTAACATCTTGTTTACCTTCGTAATTTACTCTTTATTTGAATTTCTCTCTGGTTAACCGATCTTCGTCAAATTTAAAACAAAATCTAGTCAAATCTTGGTCAAATAATCCGATTGTAAACATGGTTTTTTTTTTAAATTATCTATCGCCCTTCAGATTGAGAATAAATTGATTTTGTGTAGTTTCTTTTTTTTGTTTAAATATATTCCAAAGGATTTTGAACGTTAAAATATGATGGCAACTGAAAATTTCTCGTGTTCCACGGAGTTACCATGGTCTCAGCACCAGACTCGAACACGCGTGCGTCCCCGTGGTCTTGGAAAACCCAAAAAGCCGCGTTCCAGATCCTCTCCTGTACGGTAAGCATTGCAAGATCTTTTGCTGAGTAAATTATATGTTTGCACAGCGGGTTGATCAGCTTTAACGTAAGTAAATCTCAACCTGTGCCAAGTAGTATTAGGAAAATACCTATTGAGAGAATGAGGTTATCTCAATAGGTATCTGCTAAATCTAAGCTGCCCCCGAAATTTAATAAATGGAGCTCACTTATTGACTTTATCATTTTGGTAGTTTGATTGTAATTTTTTAAAAGATATGGTACCTTGTACAATCTAAGTTTGTCCTCTTTTACTGTTCTGAGCTTCGGCTCAAGGATGCGTGGGTTTACTGATCGCAAACCTTCGTAAGAAGATGGCACACAGTGGTTCCATTAGGAAAAAAAGTGGACATGGGAACAAAAGTTCTAGTTTTGGATTATTTTTTTCATGTTCATAGATCTTTGCAAACTTAATAAGATTTAAGTTTTTAAAAATCTACATTTTTTGTGTGCAGAATAACATGGTTTATATTTTCTTTGTATTGATTGAATTTTTTAGAATTTTGACAATATGACTATTATAGAACTCATTCAGGGGTCTTTGTGTGCGCTTCTACAATAAGGTCCCAAGCAAAATACAACAATGAGATATCATGCAGTATAAATATACTACTAAAATACAATAGATTACACTTGAAATACAAAATACTTATTAAAAAAGCTTATTATAAGGTATCCGATTATATAACAGATAAGAATCTTTGGACTTGAGATGATCCAGCAACTGGATAGGTGATTACTTCTTAACTCATTATATATCAAAAATTATCTTGCTTCGATTATTATTAAATGATTATTTTATCATTATAAGACCATAGTTTTTTTTTCTCTGTCTTTATTTATAATGTATTGATCTGGTAATGACATGGTTTTTGTAAATGTTATTACTCCTATTAGAGCTGGTGAGTTTCTTGCTCGTTTTTCTTATCAGCCAAAAGACGTCCTGAACGAGTAAAAATTTTGGACGATTTAAAAGTAATTTTAAGAAGTCTTATTCTTATTGTCTTATTTTAAGAAGATTTGAAAAAAGATTATTTTGACTTTGACTATAGTAGTAAATCTCGGTAAAATTTCCCTTGTATAAAAATTGTTAAATATCAAACAGACACATGAACAGTTTCAATGTGAAAATATAATTACTATAAATAAATTTACATACATACATAACATATAAAAATATATATATGTATATAAACAAATAAATACATGTTTACTTACATAAACATTTTAACCACAATTTTAACACATAAGAATTATGTGGGGTACGCTACCCCGCACCGCGCGGGGAGGGGAAGGTTTCTTTGTTTCTCCGTTGGTGGCGCTATTGTCGCGTTGTGGCTCGGTGTCCTTTACAAATTCAATAGATAGTCGCGTTTGAAGACAAGTTTATTTGGCGCGGCTTGTATGTGGTGAGAAGGAAAAGCGAGAGTTTGCTGTCTGAACGAAGATTACGGCTGTGGGAAGCAACTGGATGCTGAAATATACATTTCAAATATCCGGGTACACACGGTTCTTTAATCATAGAATAGAGAGTGGAGAGGATCCCCAGATCCCTAATTTGGAGAATTGTTAGCCATTTCAAGTTTTTCCTAAAGGCAGAGATACGAATGTATAAAAGAAAGTGAATGCAATTGTTGAGTAAACGATCCAGTTTGTTATAAATAAGCATAATCAATGATAGGAAAGATTATTGATTGGACTAGGAGGATTTTAATGGAGATGGGAAGAAAATTTTGGAATTGATAAAAATACATAAGTATGCCATTTACTTTACCACAAACAGAGTTAATCTGCGTCTTCCAGTTCAGTGAGTTGTCAATGCAAATACCCAGATCCACAACGTGAGGGGCAAATTTTATTAAATTTCCATTAAAATGAAGAGGAGTTTCAGAACTCATATCCACCTTCGCTAAAAATCGCGTACTACCCACTATTATACCCTTGCACTTGTTAGGGTTGACTCGAATTCCAATTGTATTAGACGAGTCAGAGATCTTTTGCAGATAATAAATAATAATAATAATAAATACTCTTTATTGCACAAACCATATTAAAAATTACATTAACAAACATAAATGAATACATGAAAATGTACAAAAGGCGGCCTTATCGCTAGGCAGCGATTTCTTCCAGGCAACCTTGCATTGGATGGAGAAAAAAAAAACAAACATTAGATGGCAGATTGTGCATAAAAAAAAATAAAAAAAAAAAAGTACATGGAGACAAACAAAATGCTCAAAACACAAGTGACAACCAGAAAGCGAGAAGTGTAAATAGAAAAATAGAAGAGCAGGCTAAACGTTAGAGAGGAAATGGGATTTTAATTGATATTTGAAAGAGTTTAACGAATTCGCCCGTCTGATCGATTCAGGTAGAGAGTTCCACAGTTTTATAGCGTGTACTGTAAAGGATTGACTATTGAATTTAGTGAGATTGGGAGGAATGAACAATCGTAAGTTATTAGAAGAACGAAGCGAGAGATCATGCGTAGATGAGAGAAATTTAAAGCGTGATTTGAGATAAGGGGGCAACATGGGATTGAACAGTATAGAGTAGAGAAGCGAGAGCATATGCATATCCCTACGACTACGAATGGGGAGCCACTGAAGTTGCCTACGGAATTCAGAAACATGGTCATATTTGCGCAAACCAAATATAAACCGTATGGAAAAGTTTTGAAGACGTTCAAGCTTATTGAGAAGATCAAGTGTAAGATCAGGGTAGCATGCATCTGCATAATCAAGAAGGGGCAAGAGAAGTGAATGCGCAAGTGTAATTTTGGTGGAAATGGGTAAAAAATTGCGCAGCCGCCTAAGTGATCCGGAGGCAGCAAACATCTTCCGGCTAATCTCTGCTACTTGTGGACGCCAGGACAATGTGTTGTCAAAGATGATACCCAGATTTTTTACCGTATCAGCGAAAGGCACATGTACCCCATCAAATATGATAGGTGGTAATCTATCAAATTTAATCCTGGAAATGTAAAAGGAACTGCCAATAATTATACTCTGCGTTTTATTAGGATTAACTTTGACACCAAAAGAATTACTCCACTGGACGATTCGCACCAGGTCTGAATTAATAGCGCTAATAGCATCATCAAGTCGCTCAAAACACTCCTGAGAGTAAATTTGAAGATCATCTGCATACAAGTGATAGGAAGAAGAGAGTTGTTGGGTAAAAGAATTAATAAAAATAGAAAATAATAACGGAGACAGCACACCGCCCTGAGGAACACCGGCAGTCGTGGACACCCACGTAGATACTGTATTTTCAGCACGTATACGTTGCCGGCGGCCATGTAAATAGCTACGAAACCAATCAAGCACCGCTGGAGATACGTTAAGGGAACGAAGTATGCCTAACAGAATGTCAAAATCAACAGTGCCAAAAGCGTTGCTGAAATCCAGTAACGTTAACACCGTTAACTTCTGATTCTCCATCCCATCACGAATGTAGTCTGTAATCTTAACTAAAGCCGTTGTAGTACTGTGTCCAGGGCGAAAACCCGACTGGTAAGGGTTAAATAGTTTATGTCTGTTAAGAAAGGAATTTAATTGTTGTTGGATAAGGCGTTCAAATATTATTGAAAGTAAGGGAAGAATAGATATAGGACGAAAATCGGAGTGATTAATCGGAGGCTTTGATATTTTAGGCAAAGGGATGATATGAGCATCTTTCCATGCATCGGAAAAAATAGAAGAAGAGATAGAAGCATTAAAAATTTTAGTGATGATAGGCGTAAGGATATCAAGCAAGGGAATCAACATATTACGGCTCACACAGTCTTCGCCCATTGCATTAGAAGTGACTGAGAGAATGTTCCGCTTAACGTCACAGTCGGTGACTTGACAAAAATCGAACGAAGGATAGTCAGGAGTAGGTAAATGTGGAAGATACTGTAGGGTCTGTTGCTTAATACTGCTGTTCATAGCGGGTGAAGTTGAAAAATAGTTATTAAGAGAATTAAAGTCAAAATCAAGTGAATGAGAATTAATATTGTTCGTTGACTTACCGACTCCCACTGACTTCAGGAACCTCCAAACCTTGGATGAATTTCCATTTTCAACTGTCTTGTGAATATGGCGTTTTTGTGCATCCCTACACATTGTATTGCAGCGATTTCTAAAAGCGTCTAATTTTGAACTTAGCTTTAGCGCGGTTTTTCTTATCCATTAGACATCTAATGTTATCTGTCAGCCAAGGTGCCGGAAGATGCTTAACTTTGACTGGACGAACAGGGGCATGGGTGTTATAAAGTTGTAAAAGAAATTTATTAAACAAGTTAACCTGCTCATTAACGGTCGCAGCATTATCAATTAAAGACCAATCAATCTCAATAGCATCAGCTCGAAGGCGATCAATGTCCATACCACCAAAATTACGCAGCATAAGAATTTTAGGTTTAGCTTTTGGAGGTCGGATTTTGTAAGAAAGATACAATAGATCGTAATAGGAGAAAGCATCTGCAGGAATTTGACCATGTTTAGCAACATGATCCAAGGAAGAAACAATAACCAAGTCCAAAAGCGAGGGAGTACAGTTAGGAAAGTTATGCGTGGAGTTTAAAGGGAGGATATGCATATTACTGGCGTCAATCAGATATTTAAGATTTTTGGAGCGGAAGTCATTTTTGAGGAGGCAGGTGTTGAAATCACCCATGATGATTGTGTGTTCAAACGAGGGTGAAAAATCCTCTAAGAGTTTTTCAAAAGAAGGAAAATAATTAATTTTCAAAGACGGACTGTAAAAAACTCCAAGAAGAACCTTTGTGTGTGAGATCATAATTTCGAGGAAAAGATGTTCTGCTGTACCAGGAGGAGGGGGCTGAGCTGAACGACTAATGATAGTGAATGGAATATGGCTACGCAGATATATAGCCACACCACCATGTGAAGTATTAGTTCGGTCATTACGAACTAGGGTAAAACCAGGAAGTGTGTATGAGTTCGTAGGAATAGAAGGATGTAGAAAAGTCTCGGA